TATGTATGTAGGTAGGTAGGTAGGTAGGTAGGTAGGTAGGTCGGTCGGTCGGTCGGTCGGTCGGTCGGTCGGTCGGTAGGTAGTTAGGTAGGTAGGTAGGTAGGTAGGTAGGTAGGTAGGTAGGTATGCATGTGTGCATACTGCCCCTCCGAAAATTCGTCGCACTCTGTGTTGTTCACGTACAACAAACCTAAGACCCTTGGCCTTGTCCCCCGTAGACTATATATATGCTGATGTCATATATATATATGTGTATGTATGTATATATACATATACATAGCAGGATAGCCTTGGCAAAGTCTTGGCAAGCTTGCCTCTTTGTGTTTATTCCCTTGTTTGCGCACCATCATCGCTGACATAATGACCAACTTCTGTTTCGTATATGAGAAGAAATGTTCCCCCTTTCACACGACACGGGAAGAGAGGCCTGGAACCATCTCGGAGGGTTCGGAGCCAGTGTTTCCTATAGGAGCATGGGTTGGGGAGCTGAGCACATTGATCGGCGCCACGGGATCAAAGCCTAGCTAAGCCTCTTTTGGCTACGCAGATACATCTTCTTCTTGTTTTCGCCGGCCTTCAAGTAGTAGCTTTTGATTGGCGGGGCACCATCCCTGGTCGTTCCGCCGGCGAGGGCGGCGACCAGGCAAGGCGGATTCATGACTGGGCCTCACTCTGGTAGGATACCTCGGCTCCTAACATCTCCTTTCGTCAGGTTCGGTGTCAGGATTGTAAGAATGCAGCACGGTCCGCTCGTAGACATGTGATGTGTAGCAGGGGATTCAGGGTTAAAGGTTAATTTTAGCATTGGTTGCTGCTAACATTGGGGCTCATCAAGTGTAAACGTGTGATTGCAGAAGCCTGCGTGACAACCTTAGGCCCCCCTTCCAAAACCAAACTTTCAACCCCACTCAACCCTATCCACTTGGCATGCGAGTCGAAACTACTCCCTAAAGCCTCGGCACGTATCCCAAGCCAGATTTGCCAGCTCACTCACTCATCCAGGCTAGGCATTGAAGCAACCCTCAGTGGACTTAGGTAGGTAGGTTGGGCGTAGAGTCTGACACCTGCAACCCTGGACTCTAGACCTGAAGCGCCTAGAGGGGAAGCAAGCCCTTAAACCTTACAACCTTACACCCGTCAACCCTGTGATCCGAGAGCCCTCAACTAGCAGCCTTAGGGTTTAGGGTTAGAGAGAATACCGTCTATCCCCAGATCTAAACCTTGCAACCCTAAACCTTATGACCCTGCAGGTGCCTACCTGACCCTGGACTGTAGCACCATTTTTTTTGGAGAATCTATTCTTCTGTCTAAGACCCTATAACTAAGAACCTAAGGTAACCTAAGAGAGGTATTCCTTCAACTCTAAACCTACATTAGAGGGTCTAACTAGGTATATCCACCAACTTCCTAAGTCCAGTGGGCCTCGCGCAGGATGGGTGCCAACCTTTGCTCGCAGCAAGGCACTAACTCGGGAAGTTCTCCTGTCTTATTGAGATGAGCGTGCCGTTTTTGGGGGCTTGGGACTATCATATCGGGCTTATAGGCTTCTAGGTGTTCGCAGTGTTCCGAGTTTAGGAAGAAAGCTTAAAATCTAAAAGTGCCGTGCTATCTCGCTGAGGGTTCGCATGTGTAGAAGGACAGAGAAGAGCTCTGAAGAAGGCTCCGGTGTTTAGGGACTGGGCAGTCTGAGCTTGCGATGTTTTTGGCTTCCGCGCAAATTACCGCTGCCACCTACGGTTCCCGTGTTGGCTACGATCACAGAGGTATGCGGGATGATTGCGACTTCGGACTTATGAGACTAGGGATGGGAGGAAAAAGGGGTTGAAGAGATTAGGGCTACACCCTCAACCCGAAGCTCTAAACGGTATTTCGGCCCAATTCTTCCAGTGCTGATCCGGGTACATTCCGTCGGATGCTGGCCCCGCACGGTCTGTTCGGCCGAGAGTCTGCTAGAGTTCATGTTGTATTGACGTTTTTGGGCCCTATAGACTATGTAAACCCTGCCTTCTAAGGTTGCCCTCCCTGCATGCTGTTCGAGGTCAACTAGATTCGCACAGCAGCTTCTTGCCTGGACAGGCGCATTTTCCAGCTGCACAGCATGCACGACCATCGATGCAGCAGATTGGATCTTCTGCCTGGATACGCATGGGCAGGCCTCTCTTGGATGGGCTTCGGTGCCGGGAAGTAGTCATTATGTTATCCTCTGAGGCAGTTGGAAGCCGTTCGCCTTGACAATAAGGTGGGTGAGCACGAAGGTGCGAACCAGTGTTGTGTTGACAGAGCCGCCTACATCGTCGTGGCAAAGATGATGATCATGTTGCACAAGTCCGCATGCTTTCTGAAGGAAGCGCGTCTTCGGATGCATTCGCAATCTCTGAACTCCCGCTGCAGCACACAATCTGTCAAGCTGGCAACAATCAATCGCCCCACGGTCTTGGATGCCGCCCAGATCGCAAGAACATGTGTCGCGTGCTCACCTGTGAGCTGGATTCATCCTCAAAGCGAGTTCAAGATGAAACCCTGAATCCTAAACATCTGTGCCGCTTCAACCTTGGGGAGTCCAGCTTGCCTTGGGATCCTCCCTGTGTCTTTGTTGGAAGATCTCCCTGCGGTGCGACTTGGTCAGCTGGGCGGGCGACGAACAAAAACCGATAAAAACTTTTGTCCCCAAATCTGCAAACCTCAGACACAGCCGAGAGTGGACAGGTGGAAACGAAGCGGCTGCGGAAAGCTAAGGCCCGTGGGGGAGGTGGTAGTAGGTTTCCGAGAAGGCATGGTGCAGTATTTCGGGGAGCGGCTTCATTCCTCCCAGCAGGAAGGCACCCTAAACTCGAGTAGGCCCTAGGCATAATTATCCGCATAAGCTCAGCAAACCATGTGGCCGAGCCAGACATGCTTCAAGCCAGCATCCCCGAGAATCACTCAAGGCTATTTTAGGCAAACATACATACATAAATATGCGTTATATACATGCGCGCATGCATGTCCATCGCTGATCCGGCAGGGGCTGCCGGCTCTAGGTTTCAGGGTTCGACCTAGGAGCTGATAGTCAGCGCATGTCAGCGCTCCCTGCACTCATCAGTAGCACACCTCCAGACAAACGTAGCCGAAACCTTCAGTGGAAAACTACAACCCTGAGGCTTGCAACAACCCTGTCAGATCGAGTGACCGCAAGTTCCAACCTCTGAAATCGGTAGGCACTGAGCGATTGGGCGTATGAGGGATCACTTTGTGTCTACCATGTCTCAGGGCTTACATGGTCTCGTTCGTTTCTCCCACCCGAGTGCACGCCGAAGCCGAGGTATTCCATACGGATTATCCGAGAAGGAGAAGAGCCATAACGCCCGCAATGCGCAAGAGTCAGATTCCTTCTATCAACGCAATCAGCAGTTGCGACATGTTGGTCTTTACAATGGGGACAGCAAGCTCCACCAAATCAATACCGCTACCTGTGGATCGTCATCATCGTATACCCAGAAGGAAGACAAAAGTGCCGTTTTCGAGTTTAGAGCGCCTCGATACCCCCCCCCCCCCGCCCACGGAGCTGTGAAGGATAAGTTCGCCAAAGAGACGTTGGAGCTTGATCCTTCCAGGTCGGGCGCATCAGTGATGTCCTACACGTGCAGACAATCTATCTGGTCAGATTCGTAGAAGAGTCGTAGAAGTATGCACACACTACCCACGTCCTTAGGCAAGCTCAGCCTCTCTCTCTATCCCTCTAGGTGCTGGTCCAAGGGACAAGACGTCAGTAACATGTTCCCGTTGGCTGATGCTCTTGTTCGCCTGTGTGTGTGTGTGTNNGTCGGTCGGTCGGTCGGTCTGTCTCTCTGTCTGTCTGTGCGTGTCTGTGTGTTCGAGTTGAGTTGTGTAGGTGGTCTCAGACATGTCCTGTGTGTGTGTGTGTGTGCGTCTGTGTGTGTGTGTGTGTGCGTGCGTGCGTGTTTGCAGATGTGTGGAATTCCAAAGCAGTTTGGCGGGTTGGCCAGGCTTCGAGACGCAAGGTCCCATGCTGTAGAAGCCATACTTCTACTCAAGCACGAGCCACATTTCAAATCGCTAGTAGCATTTTGGACTGTCGTGGCGTGCTGGACTTTACCAGAGCGTGTACATTTGCTCGCCTTATGCTTTCCATGTGTTTTCAGTTTTGTTGGCAGCTGCATGGCCAGTGCTGTGATTAGGCTTTCCGTCTAATTACGAGATACAAACATGTCTAGATATGCGATATATGGCCGTGCAGATTTGCATATTCACACGCATCATCCAGGTTTCTACCGGTAGAGACTCTAGAGTCGACTGTCAGCAAGGTGGACATTCGTATTCGTAGTGTCACAATGTGTCACAAGTCTATGTCTGCACCACAAACGATCACACAAGCATGTACATGCGCGCACACGCGTACACATGCACATGTTTTGTACACACGCCTCTCAAAAACACACGCATTCCCACTCACACACATGCGTATGGAGTCATGCCTCAAGTAGCTGATGTAATCGATCTCGACCGACATGTCATTAAGGTTTGCGATATTGTGCGTAGACTTCAATTCTTTTCTTTGGAACGCTACACAGGGAGAAAAGCCCTTCTCGGGACAGCCTTGCTCACTGAGGTTAGAAACTTTGACCATGGATTTGTTCAAGGCAGCGACTCCGATATTTGCTTCTGGTGGTAGAGTCTAGTATTCTAGCATTGATGACTGCTACGTTGACAGAGCTATCCGACACTGTTAGTCACACTTCATGATCATTGCAATAATGAGGAAGTGGCAGAAGTTGTTGCTGATGTTGTTGGGCATTTTGCGACAATCACCGGTGCTGCGCATGGCGATGTTGCTCGTGATGGGTGTGAAAAAGCCGTTGACGATGAGCGTTGTCTTCTTGAGCAGTTGTATGGCTTCTAATCATTAAATCTTCTTGGGTATGCAACTGTGCATGTTGTGCATGATGATGTTGGCTATAAGGCTATACGGCTCGAAGGTGTCAATCGTTGTAACGATGGTTACAATGGTTTCGACAAAATGTCGACGATGAAGCCACATCACGTTCTTGTACATCCACATCCTCATCACTATCACCACCACCACAGCTGCCATCACCCCCAGATCACCCCATACACCATCCCCACTGCCACCTCCGCCCACCCCGCCACCACCACCAGTGTCGGTTGCTACCACTGCGAACACCTCATCAACATCAGCACCAGCACTTCCAGCAGTCCTCATTGTGCTAAACGCGCAAGCACCTCCCCGTCGCAAAGCTAAATAGCACACTTGCCTTTCGGTGTGTCTCTCATCTTCTGAAGCTCCCCACAATGTTACATCTACGGAGCCCGTGGCAGGCGCATGACTTGAATGGCGACGGCTTCCTTCAGGAGAATTCATGGTGCAAACGACTTGGAACTGCGGAGTACGCAACATGTTAACAGCAGGGCCAATTAAACATGCTGACCAGATGCAGTATACCAACAACGCAACAAAGAATGTAAGCTTTAATAGTCTTTCTGGATGTAGTGACCGTGAGAAGCTTTAGCTCATGGGCAGTCATGATTTCATGGCTGCTGGTTCTTTTCACTGAACGCCGTTCTTATCGAGTCGGCAATGCAACGAGCGACCCACCCAAACAACATGCAGACACACGCACAGACACATTCGCGCGCACACACACACACACGCACACACAGACACACACACACACACACACATACGCACACACACACACACGCAGACACGCACACACATACACAGACACACACACACACACACGCGTGCATGTGCACAGAGAGAGGGCTTGAACGTATAGAAGTTCGCCAATATCTCATTTTCAGATGTGTTTTTTTTCTCTTTTTCTGACGTTCTCGTATTCGTCGGCATCGTTGGGGGTGCCGGTGGTGGAGGTAGCGAATGGCTTTTTGCGAACAAGCTTCAGCAAGGCGGTTCGCACAGCATCGACACAGCAGCGGTGAGTCCGAGTGTATTTGCTGCACTCTACCCGTTCGTCTGTAAGTCTATATGAAAGCTGCAATGTCCCTGAACTTCCTGAAGCCGGAGCCCCAGACTAAAGACTCTAAGCTCCAAGCAATCCCTGCCGAAAGCCAGCACCGCGCCCAAGTAAGTACAACAGACATACGAACAAAGGAGCATCAACAACAGATTAAAGCTATAGACAGCCTAAACACAGTCTTAAGAAGCTACAGGAGATGGAGCTCATTACCCTGAACGAGCGCATCGCCATGCTTCATCATGGGAAAGGTGCTTTCGCCGCCCGACGCGTGAAGGGGGTGGGCTGTCCTTCAGTTCATGGCTTCTTTGGGGAAGCCTTGGGCGTCAGAGGTGTAAGGCTCCGGTCACCAATTTGTTCCGGAACTTCCCACTTCAGCAAGAGTAGAACGGCTGGGAAAACCGCCAACATTAATCGCAGAGATATCAAACTCAGAATGATCCGAATCACGGAAGACGATCATCTCAGCATCCGCCTTCGTAGGGACTTAGTACTTGGGTTTTGGAGCTGACCCCAGGCGCAGCATACGATGCAGCTCCGACTGTCTTCCCAATTTGCTTGTTCCACCAGAGAACATGCCCACCCTTGCTATAATTATTCTGCAACTCTTCTTTCCGAGACTCTATTCGAGGCGCGCTGCAAGAAAAGCCTTCTTCAGAAAGCCACTGGCGTTCAGGAAGATCCTTCTGCCCGCAAACCTTACCCGTACTCTTCAACTTCATATGCTTGAGCTGCTTGAGTCTAGCAACGAAACGGCCACACTTCCTGCACCACACTCGCTCTCCATTGGTACGAGGCTGAAGAACATGCCCATTCTCCTGGAACCCCCTCTCACCGTCATTCACAACTCTCGCCTGGCAAGCGACACGCAATCGATCTTGGTAGGGCTGCTGCATGTCATGGACTGTCTCAATATCCGACTGCCAAATCCCAACAAGCACAGTGTGCAAAGCTTTGACCTCCCCATCAGACGGAGTCAATCTCGACGGTATCATTCCAGCATAACGAGTGCAAACAGGAAGGGACTCCAACGGCACCGAAAGCAAAGACATGAAAGGACGACGAAGCTCCTCATGCTCCGAGCATTTCCCAAGAAACATGGTGTACGGTCTTCGTTAGTCCTGCTCCTCTGTCATGGGTCCTCCCGCAAGAATCAAACACATGATGGCCACGTGTTTCCGAGCCTCCTCCTGCAAACGAGAAGCACACATAGCACTTGCATCACACGGCCCATTTACAACATCCTCTAGAGTGTCACACAACAACATGGTTCGACGACAGTCCACCTCCTGCACGTCACAATAATGCTGCGGCCTACCCTTGGCAACCTTGGCCCAGAGAAACTCCCTCCACGCCATTCGCAAATCATGTGCCCACTCCTTCGCGCAGGCCCAGGATCGACATAGATTTCGGTTTGGTCTGCGGGCAAGGACGGTATAAGCCAACAACCGGCAGCCAGCAGTTGCCAAGGTAAGCCCTTCCGCCAAGCTGCGATTCGAACGTTGGCAGATCCGAAACACTTGAAACATACGCTTTTCCCGAAGTGGGCTTATTCATCAGTGTCCTTTATGTCGCCGTTATTATTGCTGGCCGGACACTTTCTTCTAGTTAGGTGATAACATCGGAGGATATAACGGCGGATATATGAAGGCTTCTTTTCTCAACCAGCCGATTCCAAGGAGCTGCAAGAGGTACGAGACACGTGCCTTCGGCTGCAGTGAATCGGGGATCATTCGAACCAATTCGCGGACCAAATGTTCTGCACGTTCGGAGGCATATCCTCGGGCAAGAATAGCCTTGAACTGAGTATGCCTAGGTTGGTGAGGATCCAATAGGGCCTTAGATATTTCCTGGAGCATGTAGGTTGACTTTCAATGCATGCATACGACAAGAGTCAGATGCACAACCTGGGCACACGAAAGAACACATGCAGCACATAAAAAATGTAGCACAGTACAGTAGAGTACAGTGTAGCACAGTGCCGCGTCGAAAATGGCGTGGTGTGGCAGTGGTGGTATAACATATAGAATGGAGTAGAACGGCATGGTCTAGTACATCACCACATGCTGTATTGTGACAGAAGTGAGGTTTTTTGCACCGCAGAGTATAGTAGCGTATAGTATAGCAACGTAGAGTGCATATGGCAGCATGGTATAGTGGTACTGTATACTATACTACGACAGAATATAACACACGTATTGCTAGCATTATAGCACGGAACATAACTTTGTCATTTTGAAGCCTCGCATGACTTACCCTAGTACATTGTATTTAGTGTAGCATAATGTGTTGCCATGCATGTCGTGCCATGTATTGTGATTCACAGTTATTTCATGTTCATATTTTACAAACACGTTTACGCTCATGCGCTGGTGTACTATGCTCTATACTATGGGCGATACTATACTATAGCAACGACAACCTGCTCAGTCTATACCTATTTGTCTAAGTTTTATGTTATCTATGTATCTGTCTATCTACCTACCTATCTATCTATCTATCTATCTATCTATCTATCTATGTCCGTCCATGTACATACTTATGTTTGGACTGTTCTGTAACGACGCACAGTCGTGCACACAAATGCAAATTGGGTTCATTTGTCGTAAGTATGCACTCCTAAATTTGCGACGATTGCAGGTTTGTTTTCTATCGCTGTTGTTGCCGTTGAGTCCTTACCCCGAGTCCTGAACCCCACATCCTAAATCTTTTCATCTCCCGCCTGCTATCCGTGGACGGAAGTCCTTAACGCAGAGCACAAGCCCTTCTTAGGGGGTGCAGGAATATTTAGGGTTGAGGGATTTGGGCTTTATAATATAGGGTTTTCGGAATTTTGATTTTTCGTTTTTATAACTCCCATGCCCCATCAAAAACCTACGCTCCGAGATACTCGCGCCTTTTCCGGACGAAGCTGGACCCACAGGGCCGGCCTGTTCCCTTCGAAATCTTCAGAAGGCTTGCTGTCGGATTCCGAATACCCGGAATTTCACTACTTGGAGACATGAGAGATGAGCAGTTTCAGGTTCCGGGATTGCTTCATGTTTGGGTTGCCTTCTCTGGGTGCTCAGGGTGCGGATGTTTCCTAAGCGCCGTTTTGGGAGCTTTCGCGGCGAGGTGTGCGGGCCGTGTGTTTTTCAATGAGGCCTCAGAGCTGGTTGGGGAATGTTAAGTTCTAGTTACTTGTCGTGTGGGGTATCGGCGGAATATGTGCGACTTCACGAGCACAGGTACGATCTACACTTCTACACAACCTCATCCGTCCTGACATGTTCTGCTTTGAGTGTCAAATTCCTAATCCTCAAGGGAGTCGGATGTTGTAGTTGCCGCGACCGTAGCACTGTAGAGATCCTCCCAAACGCTTGAAGAAAGGAAATGCAGATGTCTTTGGCTCACACCCGGAACTTCATCCGGTTTGGGGTTGGGGTAGGATTTCAGGTCGCGGTGTGGGCCTCTGAGGTCTGTATACCGAGATTGCGGTTTTCGGTGCAGGACCTTCGTCATGGTGTTCGCGGTGTGCACTCCAGGAAAAACTCAGAAAACGTTGGCTGTCGGATCCGGCGGAGACGTCGAAGTAGTGCGGATTGAGATGTCAGGGCTTCTGCTTGCGACGAAGGGTCGTAGATTGAGAAGGGCCGAAGGCTTCTGTGTCTTCCTGGGTGTTATGAGGGTGCTGGTTCCAGGCAGGGCTCTGCTCGGATTAGGTTCCTCAAAGGGGTGCCCTTTCTCAAGGCGTTCGTGTTCTGGAGCTTGGCGCGATTTTCGTCCCTCAAAGGGCAGTCCCATGTTGCCACAACTCCCAGATATGCGCGGGGCGTGCTGGAAGAGCTCGATCAGGATCCTGAAGCGCAGGACTGACGATCTTGTGTCTCTCTTGTGTCTCAGGCAGGTTCTTGAAAGTCATCAGATTGCAAGCATACCGCGAAAGGCTTACATGCGCTGGCAAGTCTAGATCACATGAGCAGTATAAGTATACTCTAGAACGGGAGTGATCTGCTTCTGAACTGCCTCGGTGTGCTACCCGAAGCCCTAAAGTGGAAATGCTAAACCCTAATGCCCTAATGCCTAAGCCCTGAGCCCTAAAGTGTCCGAGTTGCGAGAGTCCGAATCCCAATTGGGGTCGCCTGATTGCTCAGGAGATGATCTTAGAGCAGTTTGTCGCGGAGGCACTGCCCATGTTTACGTTTACCGGCTTAAAGCAGTATATAAGGTTTAGACATGATGTGAAGTATAGCTCATGTTTGGTGAGTGGACATGTGCTTATAGATAGGCTCATCATCATCATCATTATCTTGAGGATTGGTGACTCGATATGTTGGTTGTTTATGGTGATGTTTGTAGTAACTGGCAGTAACAGCATCCGGTATCGCCGTCGAGGGGTACCTAAGCTCGTGCAGCTGTTTGGACTTGGTCATTGATAGCCTCCGCTGCAAGCACGGGGCCCCAGCAGATGTCCATATAGGTAGAATTGACGCCATAGACCTTGCAGACTCATTTGCCAACTGTTTGTTTGAGTTATTGGCATGGCCTGGTAGATGTGCCCGTCCAGTGTTTATTCCAAAAACGTTGGTTCCCGAATGTAGCCTTCTTTTTCGGCACCGGTGACCCCAAGCTGAATTGTTTCGAAACCAAGGGCCCAAGAACCAATCTAAATCGCGACACCGTGCGTTCAAGACAGATCAGAACACGCACGACCACGGCCGTCCCACCCCCCACCACACTAGCTGGAGGTGTGCGAGCATGCCCTGGCTCTCCAACTCCTCTGTCTCTCCGAATACAAGTGAAAACACAAGAAACGGGACACTAGACCTGGAACCCTTTGGCCTACCAAACGCAGGCCCTCTTCGAGCTATTGGAAACACGAGTTCGTGATCGTGTGTGTGTGTGTGTGCGCAGCGTGTGTATGCATGTGTGTGTGTGTGTATGTGTGATTGTGTTTTTTTTGGCGTAGACACCCTGAACTATACGGTTTTCGGGTTTCAGGTTGAGTTTCTTTGTGTGTGGCTTTCGGGTTTTGGGGTGTTTAGGGTTGAGGGGTTTGAGGAAGAGCCCCGAAAACTCAAAGATCCCCTACCTTATCGCGAACTTCAGACCTCTTCCAAGCCCGTGAGGCTATTCCGTGGATTTGCTTGACAATCCAAGCACCTTCAAGTCCCCAGGAGCTTACACCGGAAGCCCCGGAAACTGTTGTACGGCGGGACATCTTACATGCATGCATGCATGCATGCATGCATGCATGCATGCATGCATGCATGCATGCATGCATGCGTGTAGGCAGGCAAGCAGGCAGGCAGGCAGGCAGGCATGCATGCATGCATGCATGCATGCACACATATAGCATATGTTTACATGCACACACACATATATGTATATAGATAGATATACATATCAGTTTACATACATGTGTCTGTATATATATATATATATATATATGTATATGTACACTTACACATTCACATGTAAATATATATATATATATATAGATAGAGAGAGACTTGCACATGTCGTGTATATATATATATATATATATACACGCACTTACGCAGGCACATGTATATATGTATATATATATAGAGAGATTTGCACATGTACACACACATGTCTACATACATACATACATACATACATACATACATACATACATACATACACACCTGTGTATGATTTCGTATGTCTATGTGCGTATGTTAGTTATGTTATCTGATGTGATGAGATGTGATGTGATGTGTGTATGTACGTATGCTTGTGTGTGTCTGTGTGTCTGTATGTATGTATGTATGTATGTATGTACGTACGTACGTAGGTAGGTAGGTAGGT